TAATAAAAGGACCATGGCCACCATATAGTAGCTGGTTCAACGAAACATGACTCGATACTGGAACGACGTTTACTTTTTCACTGCAAAAAACTGCAGATATGTGATGAAAACTTTTTTCCAGCATGATAACATATAACTTTGATAAATCGTTCCTGAAATGAAACCCTACCTGCTCGGACTTTTGTGAAAAAAATATTAAAGATGAAATAAGCAAAATAATCAACTGCTAAAATACAGGATGGCCAGACCAGTAATTGAACCCAGGACCTCGAGTCATATGCCATGACACAGTCGCTATAACCGACTGAGCTATCTCTGGTCAGCAGAAGGTTCTGACCCGTCGTACTTCAGTCATGACTTGACTGTTGTGATTATTTTCTATGTCGGATTGGATTTTTCAAACTGTACTATTTCATTTTAGCAGTTGTGATTTCGTCAGAAAGCATTGACAATATTTATTCAATTTTGTACGATCAGATCAGAGGTTTACAGTATATCCAAAATGAAATTAAGAGAAGGTAGCTGTCTGTATGGAAAACTACAGTGGATATATCTATGTTTTACCAACAGTGGTACAATAATCCTCAAGTACTACCTGAGTACCAGATGGAGTTTTGATAATCAACTGAATTTAAACGAACTATAAATATAATCTATAAATATGCAACTATAATGACATCAACATCGAATGATAGTGACAGCAATATCAAATGTAATTTATGTCAACATCACGTCGATATCAGATGTAATTTACGTCAACATCACGTTGATATCAGATGTAATTTACGTCAACGTCATGTCGATATCAGATGTAATTTACGTCAACATCACGTCGATATAAGATGTAATTTACGTCAACATCACGTCAATATCAAATGTAATTTACGTCACCATCACGTCGATATCAGATGTAATTTACGTCAACACCACGTTGATATCAGATGTATTTTACGTCAACATCACGCCGATATCAGATGTAATTTACGTCAACATCACGTCAATATCAAATGTAATTTACGTCACCATCACGTCGATATCAGATGTAATTTACGTCAACACCACGTTGATATCAGATGTATTTTACGTCAACATCCCGTCGATATCAGATGTAATTTACGTCAACATCATGGCGATATCAGATGTAATTTACGTCAAGATCATGTCGATATCAGATGTAATTTACGTCAACATCACGGCGATATCAGATGTAATTTACGTCAACATCACGTAGATATCAGTTGTAATTTACGTCAATATCACGTCGATATCAGATGTAATTTACGTCAACATCGCGTTGATATCAGATGTATTTTACGTCAACATCACGTCGATATCAGATGTATTTTACGTCAACATCACGTCGATATCAGATGTAATTTACGTCAACATCATGTCGATATCAGATGTAATTTACGTCAACATCACGTCAATATCAGATGTAATTTACGTCAACATCATGTCGATATCAGATGGTAATGAAATAAGCATCTGATGAGAATGCCACCTCAAGCACATCACAAAAATATGTATACACATGTAGTGTACCACATGATTAAATCACGCTTTACAAAGTATTTTGAAGTGCCAAGTATTAAGTGGGCGTTACTTAGCTGCAATATTTTCCTGGCTGTAACACTTCCTGAGATTTGTCACTAGACTTATGTTTCATTCAGGAAATTACGAATTTAATTGGTTAAAAAAGGGGAAATTGTAAACGTGATATCATGGCATTGTTATACTGCATTGCAGACAAATAGATAAAGAGTAAAGAGGACGACATTGACAACTCAAAGACGGTTAAGAGGAAACATGTTTTTTTCAATATTTGAATACATTTGAAATAAATGTTGTACAATGTAATTATATTTAATTTGTTTACATTGCATATGAGATTTATGAATCTTGTCCAAAAAAAATCATTTTATATCTGCAGTACTTTTGTAAAAATGAAAATATCTGACAAATGAAATGGAAAGTCCTTAAGGACACATTACATACTATACAGTCTGAAGTTTTATTGATTGTAGGTAATTGAGGATCGATCATAATTTTTTCCCCCGCCAGGTGTATACATATGACCTAGATTTACCTGTGCCTTTTGCTTGGTGACAGCATTAGCAACATGTATACATATCAATCAAACATCGGTCACCAACTTCAATCGATGAATTCCTGACATATTTTACTGGATAACATTACTCACATGTGTTCTCTTAGTATGTACAGTAAACCCCCGATATAACGCCCCTCGTTTATATTATACAGTAAAACCTCGATATAACGCCCCTTGTTTATATTTACAGTTAAACCCCGATATAACGCCCGTGTATATTTACAGTAAAACCTCGATATAACGCCCCTCGTTTATATTTGCAGTAAAACCTCGATATAACGCCCCTCGTTTATATATATACAGTAAAACCTCGATATAACGCCCCTCGTGTATATATATACAGTAAAACCTCGATATAACGCCCTTCGTTTATATATACAGTAAAACCTCTATATAACGCCCCTCATTTATATATACAGTAAAACCTTGATATAACGCCCCTCGTTTCATTTGCCAAGTCGCATACCGCCATCACATTTCAAGGTCCATTTTTCTCCCTATCTTAAGAATTCCTTTATATATTTCCCTCAATTTATCAACAAACCCCTTTATAATGTAGTAATTTCCTGGAAAAATGATGGCAGTATAAGGTTTTCTATACTTTCTGTCCAAAACTGTGCATTACTTGACCTACTTTTGTCTTACTTTATTGTAACAAATATTTAAGTTTCAGGTCTTTAAGATGTAAAACTCTTCAGATATATTTTTTCAATAAACTGATAAGCCAGGCACTATACAAATTAAATAGAAGTGTCTCCCTTGGAGAATACTGGGATTTGTGAAAAATAATCAAAATATTGCATATTAATATAAACTCAATTTATTTTACATCAATTATGAACCAAGTTTTACAATTTATATTAATCAGTCTAGTTGTCCGGGATGTTTTTGCGTGTGCATCTTAATGTGAAACGAAACCAGAGTACCCGGAGAATCACACATGGTCGGTCAGGTGCGCTATCCACTGCGCCACCCGAACACCCGGAATCCAAATTAATTCGTGCAAAACAAGCTCTTCATATGTAAATTAAAGATATAAAATCTAGGTTTTCTTTTCACCTTCCTAGGACTAGCTATCAGCCCGTGACACGAATCTGCTCACACAAAATGTTCTTAAAACTCTTAAGAAAATCTTGTAAAATGCTTTTTATGAATAATAATATGTATATATATACAATGCTTGTGGTTGACAAAAAAACTTCCCGCATCGTCATATGATAATGTTAAGGTAAGATGTTTCTAGATGATAAAGTGTCGAAGGGATATAATTAACTTTCACAAATCACAGGTATGATGTGTAAGTAAACACATATACTTAAGGGATATAACTCTAGCATATATCACAGTTATTAGGGCCTCGTATCGGAGATACGGGTGCCCTATAGTAATCACTCTGTCTGTCCGTCCACAAATTATGTTCCTGGCTGATAACTTTGGTATTTATTGACAGATGTACATAAAACTTGGTCAAGATGTTCAATTCACAAAAATACACATTGAGGTAACAAGTCAAGGTCAAGGTCATTAGGTTCAAAGGTCAAGGTCAAATTTTTACATCTTTACACTGATGAACATTTTGTTATGATATCAAGATGCAAAGTTGGTCGGAATTAAAGAATAAGTCAACTGACCAAAGATCATGGTCACTGGGTTAATGGTCAAGGTCATTTGGGTCCAAAGGTAAAAGACAAAGTGGATCTCTGACTTTGACCCTGGCTCTTGATGGAGGAGGTATATAAGGTGAAATAAAACAAATCAAAGCTGACAAATGAGTATTGCACCGGTATTTACATTTCTGTTAGCCCAGCAAATATGGAGGTGGAAGGAAACAAGACTCGCATCATAGTACATGGAAAATGTAATATTTTGCTTCCTTGTGATTTTTTTTGAAGTCCAAATGTCAAACGTCAAGCTCAGCTATATGGGCAGATTGCTTCTTGATGATTATGGGGGATATATTGCCACAAGAAGGGGCCCTTACTGACCTGTCAGTGTTCTAGTAACATGTAAGGCATGGAACACAAATCACAGGCATAACTTGTGAACCATGATTGCCAACTTTATGAAATTTCCATAGGGATATTCCGAATACTTAAAATTAAAACCCTAATGAAATGTGTAAAGATACCGCCAAGGGAAAAATATTCTGCATGCTCAAAATAAAAACCTAATAAAAACAGTGTGTATATACCCCCAAGTGAAAAAATAACACTTTAAAATGACATCTTTTGGAAATGTTCAACTGTACAGGGTCCAAAATCGGAAGTCTCCCTCCAAAAAAGAAAGAATTGGCAAGTGTGACACAACGCTTACGGGAGACGATTAAAAACAAATGGAGAAATAATGTGTGAGGAAAAAATAACCTCAAATTGTTGAAAACCTGTACATATAGACTTATCTTGAGTAGAATTTAGTACAAGAAGAATTTAAAAACATATATTATAAATCATATGTGGTCTGGGATGAAAAACAGCATCTGTAGCCAGAATACTTGCTTTGTAAAAATACTGTACCAGTAGTATTGTAGTGCAGTAATAGATATTACCGGTATATGTTGAGTTATTTAAAACCCTATCATGTCATTATTATGATGATAAATCATCCCCTTTACAAAAATAGGAAATGTAGTATATAACTGTTCACAAACTAAGTGTTCTGATTTTGTGATCTGTGATTTACCTCAGATAGACCTCAGAAAAGAGGATATTGAATTTATCCTGTAGGTACCAAGGTACATAAGAAATGAACAGACTGAATTCCTGACAGTCCTTGGTTAAATGCTGCTGATATAAAGATATGAAGGTTGATAAAATTCTTTGAAATCAGTCCTTCTGATATACCCGCTACTCAATGAAAAATGTGAAGAATTCTGTTTGTGTATTTTCAGGTATCTACTACCTACATCAGTATGTCTTCCAGGGGATTGAGTGGACCAATCTACACCGTCCATCAGGTGCCGGAACATTTCCATGAACACTTTATCATCCGTGGCTACCGCCACCCCAACAGCACGGCAAAACAATGCCTTCTCAGTGTATTTGACGCCACCAACGAAACTTTGAACTTTTGGACACATTTTCTACCGTCTTGTTACTTTCTGTGGGTGCTAAAGGGTTTGTCGGAGACCCTGGACTTTAAAAATGATCCGTACACATGGCCGTTACTCGCATACATGTTTGGGGCTGTGATATTTCCCCTGGCCAGTGCCACTGCCCACACATTCAACACCATGTCGGATGAGATGCGACATTTTTGTTTTTTTCTGGACTACGGTGCTCTGAGCGTTTTCTCACTAGGTGGTGTTATTGCATATCGTGCTTACTCTTTTCCGTCGGCTTTCGTCGATACATGGTTCGGCCACAATTTTGTGCGAATTGCTACCATAAATTCCCTGGTTTCTATCATCTTCTCCTGTCAGACGAGGTTCATGAAGCTGAGCTTTTTTCGAACGTTTATACGACTCGGATCTTTTGGCTTCCCGTATCTGTACAATTCCCTCCCAATCATGTACCGACTGATGTTTTGTTCCCCGGAGGAATGTGCTTTACCTTCCCAGTACCAGCATGCCAGGCAGTTTATTTTCGCTTTTAGTGCTGCAGTCCTTTTCGCGACACACTTTCCGGAGCGATTTTATCCTGCTAAATTTGACATTTTCGGCCACAGCCACCAGTTATTCCATGTGGCCTCCATTCTAGGTACGATGGACCAGATGCAGGCCATTCTCCATGACATGGTGGACCGCCGCGCTCTTCTACAGGACAGTTGGTGGTTCCCATCGCTCAGCGACAGTGTCGGCGTCCTTGGTGCTGTTATGGCCATTAACGTGATCACCATTGGCCTGTTTTCTTTGAGATTAAGAAATTTTGTGAAATCAACGAAATCTTCGTGATGGTCATTCCAGCATGAATTGCTAAATCTGTCAAAAAAAATTGATGTGATCTACGTATTTACGTATAAATCCATTTGTCTATCTCAGATATTCCTTTTTGTATGATGTTAAGTTTTTATCTAATATTTGCATTTTGTACAAATTTAGATTGTGATATAATATCTTAAAACCCTGTTAACGCTAGTCTTTTCAGACTTTAAAAGAAATGTTGATTTCTCTACTACATAAACGTTCTACAAAGAACCAGGATAAATGATTTGATCAGCTTCCTTATTCTGGATCTCGTAAAAGATCTACGTTATACATATATTGTTGATAATTTGATGAAGAAATAATTGTTTTCCTTAACCCTTTCAACCCTATGTAACTTTAGTAAACTCTACCATGCATTGATCTGGATGAGTCCATTATGGTCTACAGTGGTGAAAGGATGCCTGTTCCAATGCAAGCAAAACATAAGATAACTCCACAGTATGTCTTCATATAAACTGTAACATCCTCTTTAACTTCTTACAGCTAAAACTGTCATAGGACCATACCATATGGTATGTTTGTTTTCAGAAAGAATTCTTCAAAACTAAAGCTATTTTCTAAAAAAAGTTTCGTTTTTTTCATTAATGGAACAGTGATCCCCAAACAGAAATATAAGCCATTGTTTGCATAAATTAAGAGTAAATATAAATTAGCATATTCTCTACTCTAATGTGTTAAAAATATTTATCGAAAAATATTTGATTTTAGTGAATTAATAGTTATAATAATGACAAGAAGCAGGGTGAAAGAAAATTTCTTCGCTAGAACAGCTGTATTGATAATGATCTTGAGAAGTTTCTCTGTTATTTTTTTTATTGTTTTCTGTTGTGTTAAGAAAATAGACTTTAAAAATCTGTTATTATAACTCCATCGTGTATATTCCTCTTGATTTTTTTTTTTTTATGCAGATTTCATTATTAGATCATGACAAAGCTACACGTTTTCCATGACAATACTCTCGTACATATCCATGACATTTGAATTTAACTTCACTCTATCAAATAATAAATGCACTTACCCGGTATCTGTATAAGCTGCTCCCGCCCCACCCACACCCCAAACACAACTTTTAAAGATGACCCCGTGAAAATATACCGGTGACCATTGCTTACCTCACTATCATCGCAAGCAGTTCTTTTAACCAGGTACTCTGTACCAGTACAAGGTCAGAGTTAGACTCAGTTTCCATCTGTTGCTGATACAAATGTATTTGTATATATTCCGTCTTTGCGTATTGCAGTTATCTTCTCTTGGGAGCAGGGATTGATTGTTACGTCATTGGTTTGTGTGAGAAAATTACGTCGTTTTCTCAAAAATGGATGACGTTACTCTCACAAACAAGTGACGTAACAATCAATACCTGCTTCCAAGAGAAGATAACTCTGCAATACGCAAAGACGGAATAGTATGGTCAGCAGTTGTTTCTTTGCCCGAACCTGACCTCTCTGTATTGGTGAGGAAACATACATTGTCCACTTACAAAATAGTTACCCTGACTGACAGGTGTCTCTGCCATCTATATGGGACTTTTGTCGAATAGAATTTTATTTTCGACTTTTCGTTTGAAAATGACTTTCTGAAATAATTAAATATAATTCTTTTTTTTTTTCTTTTTTTTTTCATTTCGGAAATGATTAGTTTTTCATGCTTTTTATTTTCTGCATTTTTTTTTCAGTAGTTTGTTTAAGCAATTAAGCAAGACATTAAAAGTCCTTCAAATCTTTTCAAAGTTTGCTTACATTGAGATGTTTAAACTTGCTAACATGAGGGGAAGGAGTATATGTCGGTCTTGAAACGCTGCAACATGTTTAATACGTACATTATTTGTGTATTAAGTAAAACTTTGATATTACATATTTCCAAACAGAGAAATCATAACATCGAAGATATTGTCATTACGATCAGTCCATACCGGTGAACTTATTTTTGTTGGAATTATTTGTTGTCAATTTCAGCAATTTCACAAATGTAACATTCCTGTGTTCTGTTCTGTTCATTTTTTAATTGTCATGGAAAGGACTGCTGCTGCAACGAGATGTTGTAACCCATTCACCCCTAAAGTCACACTTGAACCTTACCAAATCAAAGGCTGGGCAAGTCCAGTTTAAATATATAGGGGTGAATGAGTTAACAACACTGATATACATATGTAGTCATTTCTGTGTGGAATTTAAAATCTGAATCTGTATTGGTTTTTCCTATTCTTTTCAGGTGATTCCCCTATTTTTACTAGGGGAAAGATAATTCTGTCTTTCTCCTACCTAGGGAAAGGCAGCTTTCACATGCTATTAACTTTGAAAATGTTATGATCACATCATAAGATTGCAAAGCATAAACTTGGTAACATTATCAATTTTGTTACCAAGTGTATGTGCCCTTCATGAAGGCCTAGTGCAATGGGTTCACCATTTCAGCTGATAAATTACGGTTAGAATGTTTGGGAGAAAAATAATCCATCAATCATATGTGATACAGACAGAGAATCTCAATCCTAGAGACAAGATTTTAGAAATGTTCACTTCGAAAAAAAATCTTAAGCAAGTGTCATTATTTCTCTATCAACATCACACTGGAGTGACAGAATCTTTTTTTCTTCTAAAGTAGCCTCTTGGTTATACGTTTTGCCAAAATGTTATGCCTTAGCCTTCCTCAGGTGTATTTAGGATCGTATTGGTACTATAAAGTACATGTATGTATGCCACTTGTCCGTATCATGCAATCTTCTGTTTTGGCCTATTTACAAGCCATCATGTGATACACCAATACTACTCAACCAATATCAGATATAGTATCAAGGTGCCTTATCACTTGTCATCATGTAGCAAAAATCACTTTTTGTAATCTTCATCATAGAATATATGAATACCTATAATAACTGTTGGGCTTTTTTTTTTACTCAACTAGCAGTTAAGCTCACAGGAGTTATCCCCCTTTAATCATACTTTACATGTATGTGCAGATCTGAAGAAAAAAATGTTGATTCGAGAAAATAAGAAATAAATGGATGCAATAAAATAACCTGAAATTTGGCAAAAATGTGCAATAGTAAAATTGATTTTGTCGGATTCATTGACAATTAGATAGAATGGGTAAGAACAAAATATTTGTAGCATTTACAAATTAAGCTCTGAAAGTACGTAACTAGGTGGGCAAAACTTTGTTTTTACCATGTAAGGTTCCAAATTACAAATGTATTTGTTTACATGACGGGGTTTAATATATTAACAGTGCCTGTATGAAATTAGCCAAATAAATATCAGGGTATGCTGTAAAAAGTTGGATAGATTTGGAAAGTGGAAACATACATATATATATATTTTTATTGCCTGTCATGTAATATTTGAACAACGAGATCTGTTGATTTCCGAAGATAGATTCTGTATTTTCTACATAATTATACGTTAACATTCACAGTGCCTTTATCCTTACAGATAACTATGTAGCATATCTTGTTTTTACATGTATTTACATATCCAACCTATGACAATGCTGTTTAGTTTAAATAGATCTAAGATGTACATGATATATTTGTGTATACCGCTTCATTGTACAATGCTGTTATCATCTCTATGATAAATATGTTTTATATTTAATCATTCCTTACACTTCATAAAATATGTCTGAGATTCAATTTGTTGGTACACTCAATATTGTACCCTATGTTTATACATTTTCCTGTTAAAATATTGAAATTAACAGATATCCGTACCTGTCACCTGTTGGTATGAAAATTAATGGATATTTGACTTAAAACCGTTTTTTATATGGAATTAAGAGGTATCCATATAAGTTCCTGTTAAATCCATGTCTATTAACATTTGATGTAAAATTAATGGATATCCATTTCTATTCCAATTAAAAGTTGGTATAGCAGTCTAATTAATGGGTATCCTTTTCTATTCCTTTTAATATACTAGTAAAAATCAATGGGTATCCAATCCATTTCTATTCCAGTTGATATAAAGTAACTGGTGTCTATTTTGTTAAGCAGTTAATATGAAAATGAAATAAATAACAATATCCGTACATTATCAGGAAATTCTGCTGTAAAGTTGATAAACAGAGAATTTTAATCAGATTTATTCAAATTTCGTAAATGTAAACTTATACTTCATTAATTCTGTTGTTTACAGAAACAGGTTATTAGCGAAGCTTAAAACGTTCAAACAAAAACAGGATCTATTGAATGTACAAAAAACAAATTGCTCAAAAGAGACCTATGCTGAAAGTTAAATTTTTTAAATGGAAATTGATGAATACATTCAATACCATGAATAATCACTTTAAATCATGGTAATGATATTTACATATGAACAAACATTTCAATCATGTAAACGTTTTGATACAAGAAAAATCATTAAAAGGATTTTATGCATTTATGAGTGCTTATGTTAGATTTATGTATTGAGATATTATGTTTCGAGTATGAATAGTAAGCTCTCGACAAGTGTTTCTTAGCAATGATATTAAATTTTTTTTTTTACTCAAAGCAGAATTTTTATGAACTAAGGGAGATAACCAAACACACATGCAAAGCAACAAAAAATGTATTGTAGAACAAGTTTTATATTTATTTGTATAGTTGTCACCACTTTAAAGGTATAACCTGGTTCATTGTGTTCTACCTTAGAAGTGCCCTGGTTGCCTAGCAATTTTGAGAGAAAAAAATTGGAATGATTACAAAACCAGCCAAAGTTCTTCAAAAAATGGCCATTTTTAAGTGAGTTCGTTTTATTGTGAAGAGATATTCAGGATTCAGTCAGACCAAAAAATGAATGAAAGGTGCTTAGAGGGGATGGGTCACTGATTTGGATAAATACAATCTTTAAGTTTCCTGAATGTTATGTTATACTCAACTTGGTTATACTACAAATAAAGTTTTCATCACTGTGTGGTTGATATTTACACACACAAAAAACCCAGATCCATTGAAAATATTTATTGCTTCTAATATTTACCACAGATTCTGGTCATCATACGCCAGTGAAGCTTGGAATGTGCTGTGAATCCAAGAAACATTGAACCTATGCAAAGAGGTAACGAACGCAAAAAGAACAAAATGATAAGATTTAAATCACACCCATACACTTGTGCTGCTGTATAGTGGGTCAGGATACAAATGTATCCCGATCATTATATAATACATTAACAGTTAGTTTTGTGTTTAATACATTAACAGTTAGTTTTGTATTTATCTTGATTTTTTTTACCCGTTAAATTTACCAGATTTAGTTTTATATTCATTTTTTTTACCTTTGATGAGAAGTGATATCTACGTTTCCTCGGTTTTGTAAAATGTGTGTGCTCGTTTGACGGTTGACCAGTGGTCATCAGGCCTTGACCGTTCCATTTGTACATGAAATGGTGGGGGTCACAAAATTAAATTGCCATTCAAGATATTTTCTTTATGATTGGTTGATTATTTTGCCGTGGATGAAACTCATGTTATGTTAAATACCTGTTTATGTTTTCTTTACTTTAGAATTTGATAACAGATAATATTAAAAGAAACATTTTACTATTGATAATTTTATAATTTCCTTTTCCTAGATTTGAAAAAAAAATTAGTTCACATTCCCCCCCCCCCCCCCCCCCCCCCCCCCTGAACATATATATATCACATATTTGGAGAGAGAAAAAAAACTATGTTTGTATCAACAAGAAATTATGTGCCTTTTGAACAGACAACCAAAATCAGAAGATGATTATTTATTACGGAGAAATCTATTTACCCATGCGTATATCTTCCCTCTTACTGTCCAAAAGTTTGGAAAGGGAAATATCTATAAGACTAGAAAATAAAAAGTGCTATATTAAGTTTATTTTTGTACTGAAGAAATGGTGCCTTAATATTTCATGATATTTCTTGTGAAGTTTCAAGAGCAAAAAACCCAGTTGTTTAATACCAGATCAGCTTATCAAAATTGATGTTAAATTTTGATCTTGTATATCAACAAAAAATTTAAACCTATGTTACCTGCTCAGGTACCCAGAAGAAACAAATCAAAAAACACCACATACACAAACATTTCAATAATTTTCTCAAAAACCACATTTTGAAAGTTTGCTTGTTGACCCCTGCATTTTTAAACTGGACTTGCCCAGTCTTTGATTTGGTAAGGTTCAAATTTGACTTTAGGGGTGAATGGATTAAGCTAACCGGGTCTTGAACAATTGGGCTTAAATATTTAAATGTTTGACAGTTATATTTTATACACATATTTGTTAAAATGCAATTAATTCATCAATTATTAAAATAAAATTCATCACTATTTAATTTGATGAGTTGTTTTGTCTTTTTAGCCCACCATCATCTGATGGTGGGCTATTCAAATCACCCTGCGTCCGTGGTCCGTGGTCCGTCCGTTGTCCGGCGTCCATCCGTAAACAATTCTTTTTATCGGTATTTCTCAAGAAGTACCAGAGGGATCTTTCTCAAATTTTATATTTAGGTTCCCCCTGGTCCGTAGCTGTCCAAGGCAACTTTTGAGGCTGATCGGATAAACAACATGGCCGACAGGCAGACATCTTGGATTTTGATAGTGAAAGTTGTTATCGCTATTTCTCAACAAGTAACGGAGGGATCTTTCTCCAATTGTATATGTAGGTTCCCCTTGGTCCTTAGCTGTGCAGGGCAACTTTTGAGACTGATCGAATAAACAACATGGCCGACAGGCACTCATCTTGGATTTTGATATTGAAAGTTTGTTATCGCTGTTTCTCAACAAGTAACAGAGGGATCTTTCTCCACTTGTATATGTAGGTTCCCCTTGGTCCTAGCTGGTCAGGGCAACTTTTGAGACTGATCGAATAAACAACATGGCCGACAGGCAGCCATCTAGGATTTTGATAGTGAAAGTTGTTATCGCTATTTCTCAAGAAGTACCAGAGGGATCTTTCACAATTTTTTTTATGTGGGTTTCCATTGGTCCTTAGCTGTGCAGGGCAACTTTTGAGACTGATCGGATAAACAACATGGCCGACAGGCAGCCATCTTGGATTTTAATATTGATAGTTTGTTATCGCTATTTCTCGGGAAGTATCGGAGGGATCTTTCTCAAATTATATATGTAGGTTCCCCTTAGTCATTAGCTGTGCAGGGCAACTTTTGAGACTGATCGGATAAACAACATGGCCGACAGGCAGCCATCTTGGATTTTGATATTGAAAGTTTGTTNGAAAAGTCAAGATGCATGGCAGGAAATTTTACATGTAAACATTCCCAAAGAATCCTGGTGTAAGTTTTATTCAATTCCGAGATATATTACAGATGACACTAAACTTCAGAATTTTCAGTTCAAACTCTTTCATAGAATTCTATATACTAATACCAAATTAATGCAATGTAAATTGAGTGAAACAGAAAGATGCACATTCTGTGGTGTGGGAAGAGAAACATTAATACATTTATTATGGGAATGTTGTCATGTACAATCTCTTTGGTCATCCTTTATGTATCTCTTGAGGTCACAATATGAAATAGACTTAGCAAGAGACCCAGTAACCATGTTGTTTGGTATTTTTGAAACTGAAAATGAAAATGAAATAAATTTCTTGATTTTAATATTAAAATATTACATATATTTGTGCAAATTAAGGAGGAAAACCCCTACAATTACTGAATGGAAAACTTACATGTTTTTTTATAAAAAAGTAGAAGAGTGTGGACTTGATACATATTCAAATAAAAAAAAGATTATGGTAAATCAAAAATGGATTTTCATTGACAGAATGCTAAATATGGATACATGATTGTATTTTTTTTTTTTTTATACAATCTTCAGAGTTAAATCATTAATGAAAGATGTCAAAATTAATGTAGCAGTATGAATTTTTTATGTTCGTATTTGTTGTAATAAAGTTTTATAGATGCAAGTTCTGTTCAAAGATATAGATAACATACGTACAGTGGCCTTTCATTATTCTTACTGATATTACATATTTTTGTATGTTTTGAATGTGACAACAACAAAAAATGAATAAAAAAATAAATAAAAAATATCTCCCTATGTGTGTATGCCTGTGTGTGTGCTGGACTGTGCTTCCAACGGTATCATTTATAGTGCCACCTCACTTGAATGCTACAGCACTGATACTCATCCACCCCAGACCTCACCCCATAAATACTCCACCTGGGTTGTTGGACTTGTGTGGGTAGGAGAAAAACACTTTCTCTGAATATTCCATGCATACGGCGACTTCGTGGATCGAACCCCGGNATATATGTAGGTTCCCCTTAGTCATTAGCTGTGCAGGGCAACTTTTGAGACTGATCGGATAAACAACATGGGCGACAGGCAGCCATCTTGGATTTTAATATTGATAGTTTGTTATCGCTATTTCTCGGGAAGTATAGGAGGGATCTTTCTCAAATTATATATGTAGGTTCCCCTTAGTCATTAGCTGTGCAGGGCAACTTTTGAGACTGATCGGATAAACAACATGGTCGACAGGCAGCCATCTTGGATTTTGATAGTGAAAGTTGTTATCGCTATTTCTCAAGAAGTACCAAAGAAATGCCAAAGAAAAGTCAAGATGCATGGCAGGAAATTTTACATGTAAACANATGCATGATACATGAATCCCACATCGGTGTTTCATATTGGACATGTTTATCTTTCATACACAGAAGTTGGGAGAAAAACAAAGCAAATATACATCCTTAACAGTTGACTTAATTAAAGCAGTTAACATAATCTACAGTGAATATAACACAACTATGATTGGTAACAATTATGCAATGGTGGAGTTCAGAAAACTCAGTGTGGTCTCATGTGAGAGGAACAACATTCAGTATCAAAAGTACATGGGGTGTAATTTTACATTGACAAAATCAAATACGACCATGAGAATCTGTCCCCTATGACATTTCCCATCTAAATACTCAATGGACTTTAACTCATGCATCCCTGAAATTTCATAATGAACTATTCCAACCCTTGAATTGAATGTGTTCAAATGTGTCTTCAAGGGTCAATGAGTTAAAAGTACAAAAATACTGTGGAGTTACTTACCAACTCTCCCTATTCAGTAGGGAGACTCCCGATTAACGACCCTTAAATTTAGTATTTTTAACAAGTGAATTTGATAAACTTTTCCTATATTCTAAGATCTAATGATTTCACCTGAAAGAGCAGCTCAAAACATGGCATTTTAAAGGGTTATTTTGTGTCTATGGGGTATATAAATATGCTTTGTTTATGTTTTAATTTTGAACATGCAGAATCTCCCCCATAGAAATTTTAAAAGTTTGCAAGTATGAGTGGTCTCATGTGAGAGGAACAACATTCAGTATAAAAAGTCCATGAGGAGTAATTTTACATTGACAAAATCAAACAATATGACCATGAGAGTCTGCCGACCCTATGACATTTCTCACATCTAAATTAACTCAATGGACTTTAAAAGTACAAAAATGTCCTATTTGGATCCTATTATAATCTTGTGAAGGGAAATATCTGCACAAAAATATATACCTGAATATGTTTCTAACTTTTCTTTAAATTCAGAATAAAAATCTTGTGAAGTTTTGAGTACCTACCAGGTATTTATCTCTTCTGTCCTAAATAACCCATTAATTGAACTGTTTACAACCTATTAGAACTTTCAATCGACAACTTTTGAAAAACATTTCAAAATTGCTAAATTAACATTTTTTTCTATTTCATATATATCCCTGGTTTAAGCTCAGATGGTTTTGAAACCCAGAATGTTTTAGTTCCAGTTTTTTTCTTCTACATTTTGATTTTGATGATTTACTAGTAAAAAGATACAAGTCACTCTGATTCAAAACTTTTCCTGAATTTATCATTAAGCTAATGAACTTAGTACACATGAGTTCATGTAACTTACACCTGTATTTTGTCTCTCATTTCTATAAGATCTGTTTTTAACACCATGGACATTATAAATCCCAGGGTTATATATAGTATGTCTTGACATGAGAGAATTCTTTGAGACAATCATTGAAAATGTATTTTGTCAAGTAATTAGGCTCATTATTGTGTTATGTGATATATACACACTCGTACTAACGTAAGTGAAACAGGTGTCACAGATTTCTCAATTTCTTAATTATGATTAAGACTTTTCAGTCCAATTTATTGTCACAGGTAGATTTGGTCCAGTTTTGTCTAGTGATTTAGAGTCTAGCTGAAAATTGATGGGTAAATGGTAAATAACATTTTTATCATTTTTTGTAAGATCTTTGATGAACAATGCTGAGTTGGATAGCATCAAGAATCATGAAAAATAATATTCTTCATCACCAGGGACCTGAGCGTTTGTTACATCACGGAATTACTCAATTAGATGCCACCTTAAAGTCCATGATTACAGCTTTATTTATGTTCGGTAAAAATGGCACCCCAGTAATTAAAATATAACTGTAACAAGGTTTCAAGTCCCTGTGTCCTGGATAACATTTTAATTATCGTCTCAGTAGGTGATAACATAGTTAAAGGCTATACTTCTTTAAAACTTTATCATTATTTGCAGTAGTCAAGAAATGGCGCCAAAAATACGTACGTCATCGACTTTTCGGAACTTTTCTCGACTCTTCTAACCCGATCATTATTTCCAAGGTGAAGGTTATCGAAGAATTTCTTTTCCCAAGATGCTGTCGACAACTCGAGTTCAGGGAATCCTGGCTGTAAGTTTTCAAATTGTTGATTAATAAGTAAAATCATATAAATATTTCCTGCTTGAGGTTGAGCAGTGCATATGTTATCACAACTTTGCAATCGTTCGAATGCGCTTTCTATTTGGATTGATGCAAGTTGGAAAAATAACCACGTGAATTTTTCCTATCGTATCGAACGGTGACCTACATACGTTATTCGTTGTTAAGGAAAAAAAAGTACGTTTATGCAATACAAAGTTGTTTGATCATAACTGTTTGCCGGCCACGCTTTTATTTTATTTATCGCTTGTTTCATTACTAGGCAATATCGCCTGTTTGTGTAACCATGCCATTTTACCGGCAGCTATATCGGTCTCATTTGCATACCGGTGTAAACTGACTGCACATGGCATGATCATTTTCACATGGCGTTGAAAAGAAATGCTGTGAAGTAAGATATGTGATACATTTTAGCTTGAACGACCGATGAAGTATTTGGAATCATCCAATAGACCATAAAATGTACTTCTATACTATTGCAGGGTTAATTTATCCAAGCAAACTTTTCCAGAGCGTTTCAACATGCTATTTTTAGGCATTTGATTGACATGACCTTATTCAGTGTAATAAAAAAGGTCACGGGATATTCTTTTTATTTATAACTTTAGTGTATGTTTTGTAAGTCCAAAAACAAATGTTACGCTTTATGATGAGTTGTTGCCAGGCATTCTAAAAGAAAATCAGCCATGTTTAGTTCAAACTATTTTTTTTATTGATTTTTAGCTCACCTGGTCCAAAGGACCAAGGTGAGCTTATGCCATACCGTGGCGCGTCCGTCGTCCGTCCGTCAACAATTTCTTTAAACGACTTCTTCTTCTTAACCACTAATTGGAATTTACCTAAATTTGACTGGAAGCATCCTTAGGTGGTGGGGAATCAAAATTGTACAAATGGTGGGGCTGACCCCCCAGGGGGCTGAGGGGCGGGGCAAAAAGGGGGCAATTTGGCTATATTGCTTTAAGTGACTTCTTCTCTGGAACTAAGAGATGGATATCAACCATATTTGCCTGGAAGCATCCCTAGGTGGTGGAGATTCAAAATTGTACAAATGGTTGGGCTGACCCCCCAGGGGGCTGAGGGACGGGGCCAAAAAGGGGGCAATTTGGCTAGATTGCTATAAACGACTTCTTCTGTAGAACTATGCACTGGATATCAATCATATTTAATCAAAAGCATTCATGGGATGCAGGGATTCAAAATTGTACAAATGGTGTGGCTGACCCCCCAGGGGGCTGAGGGGCGGGGCCAAAAAGGGGGCAATTTGGCTAGATTGCTATAAACGACTTCTTCTGTAGAACTATGCACTGGATATCAATCATATTTAATCAAAAGCATTCATGGGAGGCAGGGATTCAAAATTGTACAAATGGTGGGGCTGACCCCCCGGGCTAAGGGGTGGGACCAAAAAAAGTTTATTGCCTGGAAATGGTTGAGATCCCCACCATATAACCACATATACAATTGCTGAGTATAAAGAGAAGAATGCACATTTGCTTCCAGGATGGCCCTAGGGTCTGGCCCCACCCTTGGAAACATAGTCCTTGGGCCATAACTTTAAAACGGCTGAGATCCCCACTCAAAAACTATATATACAAATGCTGGGCATAAAGAGACGAATGCAGTCACAATATTAGAATAGACCCTGGGGTCTGACCGAACCCCTAGGGACCTAGTTTCTTAGTCACAGCTTGGAAACAGTTGAGATCCCCACCCTATAACCATATAGACAATTGCCGATTACAAAGAGATGAATGCACATATGCTTCCAGGATGGCCTTGGGGACTGCCCCACCCTTGGAGACTTAACCCCTGGGTCATAACTTTGAAATGGTTAAGATCCCCACCCCAAAACTATATATACAATTGTTGGGCATAAAGAGACAAATGCAGTCATGATATTAGAATTGACCCCAGGGTTTGCCCCACCCTTGCAGACTTAACCCCTGGGTCATAACTTTGAAACGGTTGAAATCCCCACCCCAAAACTATATATACAAATGCTGGGCAAAAAGAGACAAATGCAGTCATGATATTAGAATTGATCCTGGGGTCTGGCCACAACCGTAGGGACCTAGTTTCTGCGTCACAGCTTGGAAACAGTTGAGATCCCCACCCCATAACCATACATAAAATTGCTGGGCATGAAAAATTGAATACAGATATATATGCTACAAGGATTGGCCTTGGGGTCTGGCATATTCCCTTGGATCTCATTTGGAGAATATTCTGCCATGATTGCTTAGATATCCAGGTGAGCGATACAGGCCCTATGGGCCTCTTGTTTTTATTTTTTTTATTAAAGCCTTTCACTCATTCACCCCTAAAGAGTAAAGACTTTGAACTCTTTTAACTTAAAGTTTGGAATAGTTCTTTATGAAATTTCAGGGGTGAGTCAAAAGACTGTTGTAGTAATGTAGTAATATTGTCCAAATCACAATAGTTTGACCAAGATCTACAAGACAGCCTCACATTGTACTCCACTTGACCTCGACGTCAGCGATATAGGCAATTTTTTTTAGTTTATCTGGACTTAAAGAATCAACGATGGGAAAGTGTTCCATTTTCAACCGGTTATACAATTTTGGCCATTTTTTTACCAGCTAAAATTTCTAAACAAAAAGTCATTTTTTTGATGATTTTATTTTTATGAAACAGTCCATACCTCTTTCGACTTGTAATCCGCTATAAATTTTCTTCATATTTTTTATTTTTTTTGCCTGGTTATCAAGGAAGATATAAATATTAACAATTTTGGACACAAGTTCTACCAATAGTGAGTGAAAATATCTTCAGTATACTTGATAAAAAGCTACCTTTTCATCAGTATAAATGCAGACCAGTGAAGCTTGTTCCTTCGTAATGGTGAAATTAGTACAAAATACTAACAAAAAAACATTGTTTGGTACAATTATAAGTAATTTACTTTATAAGGTTTCAACATGATTTTAAATAAGTGTCTGAAATTGTAGGTCCCAGGGCAGAAATAACGACAAACAAAGCCGAAATTATAACACCCCAAGTATTCTTGATTGTTTCAGACTGAATCACTATACATATATACATATGTATTTATAATACACGTAGGTAGATATTTTTTTTTTAGCAGGACATGACCAGGGATGTGTAGTGGACATCCACTACACATTCCTGACATGACAAAGAGTGATGTCCCTTTCATTTGACATATGAACGTTACATGTGTGACACCTGTACATATGTTTGGATCTTTTTACAGCAAAGGTGGTTAAAATATCAACACCTTCCGAATCCCCAATTTAAGTCATTTAGGGCTACAGCATTAAAATAGATGTTCTCAAGAGGAATAAATCAAAGTAAAATAAATGTCAAAATATAAAAAAATATGCTAAAAACATCAATAGCAAACAAAATGGTTGTTAAACATGGTATCTGATCTTTTTGCATCATCAATATCCCGGGGTTACGCTTACTTTTGCTTACTTTTGTTCTCTGCACCCCGGAATATGTCAAAGCAAAATTGAAGGCACACAGCTGGCTATTTGATTGGTCTCGGTTAAAAAAGCACCTGACCAATTGCTAGGCTGATTACTGTCTTTGAAGATTACAGAGGAGTGACACATGTCTTCAAAGCTATTCATTTTTAGCTCACCTGGTCCAAAGGACCAAAGGACCAGGGTGAGCTTATGCCGTACCGCAGCGTCCGTCGTCCGTCCGTCAACTTTTCCTTTAAAACGGTATTAGTCCTGAACGGCCAAGTAGATTTTGACTCAATTTGGTCTGGAGCATCCTTAGGCCAAGAGGACTCAATTTTGTATAAACGATGGGTCTGGCCCCCCAGGGGCCTGAGGGGTGGGGCCCAATAGGAGAAATAGAGGTAAAACCTTTAAAATCCTTCTCCTACCGTAGGAATGAAAGGATTTGTTCCATATTTGGTCTGGAGCATCCTTAGGGAAAGGGGAACACATTTTGTATAAATGATGGGTCTGGCCACCCTGGGGGCTGAGGGGCGGGGCCCGATAGGGGAAATATATCAAATTATTTAAAATCTTTCTTCTTCTGTAGGAATGAAAGGATTTGTTCCATATTTGGTCTGAAGCATCCTTGGGTGAAGGGGTAACAATTTTGAATAAACAGTGGGTCTGGCCCCCCAGGGGCCTGAGGGGTGGGGCCCAATAGAGGAAGCATAGCAAATTATTCTTTAAAATCCTTCTTTTTCTGTAGAAATGAATGGATTTGGTCCATATTGGGTCTGAAGCATTCTTGGGTGAAGGGGAACCAATTTTGTATAAACGATGGGTCTGGCCCCCCGTGGGGGCTGAGGGGCGGGGCCCAATAGGGGAAACATAGCAAATTATTCTTTAAAATCCTTCTTCTTCTGTAGGAATGAAAGGATTTAATTATGTCCATATTTGGTGTGGAGCATCCTTGGGTAAAGGGGAACTCATTTTGTATAAACGGTGGGTGTGGCCCCCTGGGACATGAGGGGCGGGGCCCAATAGGGGAAATAGAAGTAAAACCTTTATAATCCTTCTTCTACCATATGGATTAAGGGATTTTATCCTAATTTAGTCTTGAGCATCCTTGGACAAAAGGGACTCAATTTCGTATAAACAGCGAGTGTGGCCCCCCTGGGGGCAGAAGGGAGGGGCCCAATAGGGGAAACATAGCAAATTCTTCAAATACCTTCTTCTTCTGTACGAATGACAGGATTTTGTCCAAATTTGGTATGAAGCATCCTTGGGTGAAGAGGAACCAATTTTGTATAAACGGTGTGTCTAACCCCCCTGGAGGCAGAGAGTCGGGGCCCAGTAGGGGAAATAGAGGTAAAACCTTTAAAGGGGCATCACGGTGAAGTAACTTTATTTTTTGTCTTTTTTTCAAATACTACATAAACATATCAAGTGAGACTCCTTATGGAAAATAACGATCGGATTTGGCTGAAATAGATTCATAAAAATGATTAAATCTAAGAAAATCATCGGTATTTCTACCTGTCTGACCAACGTTTTGTTCAGGGATTTCCCTCTACTAGCGCATGCGCATAGCACACCATTTCTTTGTAAACAAAATGACTAGCCGTGTGAAGTAAGCGAAAGAAAAGTGTTGTACCGTGGCAGCTACGAAACGAAAAGATGCCAAATGGTCAAAAGATAGCGCAAAGAGTACGTTACGGAATCATTATTGCAGGTGGGCAGTATTCAAAGGAGAAAATAACTGCAGTAGCAGTTAGTACGGTGCATGCATTCTTCCGGATAGCCGGTTAAGCTGAAATGGAATCGACAGAAATGCTAGCGCTGTTTATGTTATGAATAAATATCTAAAACTATTAAGCTCGCTAATATCTTTGTCTGAGTTTGAACACAGATGAACTTAGTTCAATATGTTAATGGGCATGTTTTGGAGAGAGTAATTGTGTTTCTATAATTAAACAGTGGTTTATGCGTAAGGAAGGGATAAGTGACTGGTTAGTTTGATTTTGCCATGAGGCCCTCCAAGGGATAACT